GGGGGGGGCTTCAGCTGCCATTGTGATGCGCGGGGCTTCTGATGTGTCCCTGTGCCTTTAAGGAGGAGTGGGATACCTCCTGGCGAACCTGCACCCAATTTATCCTTTGAGAGGCTCTCACAGATTAGAGTTAGGACCAAACTACACAGAGGAGCATTGACGAGCAGTGCGGCTTCCACATGGTTTGCAAAAGTTGTGTAACTAAAACCTCAGTTTTTAACCCTAAAAGCTGGACAGTGTAAGTTATTTATTTATTTTTTTGCGGGCTGGCTGGTGAGTGTGCCGGGAAACTTTTTGCTTTTGTATTCTGTAAAGCCCTTCCATGTGCACCTTACTTTAAAGCTAGTTATGAATTGAGTGCATTTGCCATTTGTATTGCATAAAGAGAACCTGCCACCTCCAAATGCTGAGAACTAGGGGCTTGTTAGCCCCCCTGTGATATCAAAAGTTAAATGACAAATAAATAAAACAAAAGGTGAAATAATAAAATAGATAAAAATACAAAGTTAAAACCAACCCTACTGCCCCTGCCAACTGATTTGAATAAACACAAGCACATAAGGCATGCACATGTATTTAAAAGGGGAGTGGGGGGAGTTCTAATAACAACAACAAACAGTCACTGTGGTCCGAATCACGGTCCGGACAGAGCGGTCACTCAGGGCCCATTCACACCACATCCAGATCATCTCCAGACCAGACCAGATTGTTTCCGGACCCAAAATGCATCCTAATGTATCCCTATGTATTTCTGGCCTCTGTTCCCACCAGCACAGTGCGTTCCAGACCAGACCAGAAAAATACTGCATGTCTCATTTTGTCTGGTCTGGAATGCACTGGAACTGTGGCAGGTTCACACCATTTTCCAAACCAGATCTGGTCCGGAAAATGGTGTGAACCTAGCCTACAGGTGCCCATACACCTTACAATTATCTGCAGATTTTCTGTGGTCAGATGGAAAAAGTGCAACAGATTGGCCCAGGTGGAGATTACTCCATCCACACAGTATAGCGTAGATGGAGGAATCTGTTGCACCTTTTCCATCTGACCACAGAAAATCTGCAGATAATTGTAAGGTGTATGGCCAGCTTAAGTCTGCGTTTGTACCATGGTTCGCAATCTAGGCTGCATTCACACAACCAGCTGCACTACAACACACAGCTGCTGGTTCATCGGCTTGATGAACATTTTACTAACCAGACCTCATTGAATTTTAATATAGCAATATTCAGATGTATCTTGCTGCACTCCTTACTGGATCATGATGGTAACCTGTGGAGTCCAGGTGGGTGCTCGCAGTGACCACAGACGGCACCATGAAATGTACAAGGATTTCAAAAGATGTCATCTAAATACAAGTGCTTTTGGGGCCGCACAGGGTCCCCTTCATCAGGCTCAGAATGACACGGAAACATACAAACACAAACCTTTAAATAGGCATACCGATAAATGTGTAAAAAGGGGATTTGGATGGCATTGTCTTGTCATTAACCCCTTTGTGACGGGAGACGTACACTGTACGTCCAGCCACAAAGGGACCAAATGACTTGTCACGTACACTGTACGTGACGAGTTATTTGCTGCTCTAGAGGGCTGTTAATCGCTGAGAATCAGCTTTTAACATTCATTAATGGATGCCCTTACTACAGAGGCATTCATTAATGAAAGGGTTAACCTTTTTCAGACACCCGAT